TTTGTTGAATTCTAAGTTAAGAATGAACAAACCAAGTAAGCTGTTAACTGTTTGTTTTACAAATGAAACCAGTTCATGCCCTTTTACTACTGTATTTCAGCTAACAAGCGTAAAGATGATCCAACTTGTCAACTTTTATGAATACATTCAAAGCACGAGATATAGCAATACTTCGACCTTGTGATATTGAAAATCGAGTTTGTTCTAAAAGTAGGATCGAGACATCATACATGGAGCTTGGAGAAGTAAACACGTTAGGCCAATTTTTCATTTTGTATCACATGGTTTCAAAAATCCGTCATTCAATCGGAATTTTTTTATTTTTTTTTGTTACGTTAAACTCTCTATAATCACACCTTTGGCCTCAAGAATTCTGTTATATAAAGGTTAAATGTCATATGCATTATGTATATGAGTTGGTTTTAAAAATTTGTGATTATAAGCAAATGAGATTATAGAGGAAGTGACTATAGAGAGGTCTGGCTGTAATTCTAAATAATGAATGATAACTCTAAAAGACCTATTTAACCATGATACCGCTATGATTAAATCGACTAGCGATGATATATTGGGACCCTTATTTGTAATAATTTTCAAATATCGGGCCTCTATCTGTAATTATTTTCATTTGGGGCCCTTATTTGTAATTATTTTCGTTTTTGTGCCCTTATTTGTAAATTCCCCTATATTTTATTATAGACTGGAGTACTCCATTAATAACCCTACTTAAAAGGTTTTGAATATCGGATCTCTAAACTGATTTTGAAATCCTGAACTAATATCTGATTTGGGTTTTTATTTAGGATTTAGAGTTTGGGATTTAAAGTTTGGAATTAGATAAAACAAAAAAAGTCTAATTCAAACAGCTAATACTATAGTTTAAACTTAAAGGGTTTAGGAGGTTGAATTTTTGGTTCCACCTTTAGGTTTTTTTTAAAAAAAAATTCCGATTATACAGTATTTAAAAGATTCAAACTAAACAATTGCCGTAAACTCACATTCTGATTTATACATAACGGTGTATAAAATTTTGGCTTCATGACTTTCTGAACTAGAAAGTGAAGGTCTTTATTTAAAAGTACGAGCTCTACTAAACACTTATTATAAACACTAACGCTAACCCTAAATCTATAAAAGAATGCGCCAACAAAATTCAAGCTTCAGCCGTTTCCAGCTTTAGTTATGACAATTATTTATCTTCGATTTATATCTCCACTGAAACATCCTCTGGGGACACTAGTTAGCAATTATGGTATTCTATTTTGTTTTGCAATTGAAATCGGTATCAGAACGTATAACATTGAATACCGAATTAGTTAGCTACCCAAAGTATAAATAACGTAATTATGCAAATACATGACTATTGCATTATTTAGCCAACTTTAACATAGTGCCTAGAGGCCTTAGCAATTTTAAAATCTTTCAAAGGCAAAAATTTCTTCAATAATCTGTAAATTTTGCGGATCATGCACGTGATCAAGACAATTAATACAGTAATACAGTAATAGCAGTGATGATTCTAACCTCCGAATTGTTAGACCGTCAAATTTCGAACTCTTCTTTCTAATTAATAGCTAACCTACGTAGACCGTTCATAGATCAGCGATTAACATTAAATTAAGTATTTTGATACATTTTATATATAATATAATAAACATGTACGTAAAATATAATTTCGATAGAGAGTTGTTTTTTTCCCCGATGTTTGATATATAACAAATAGTATATACTAATACTAACTAAAAAGGGTTAAAAGAACATCATAACTGTATTCTCAATTAAAAATTAACACTATTTACGTATGTATGATACGTACGTATTTAAATATTTAAACCATAACCAACACAAAGGAAAATAAGTTATAAATATACGTACATAAAAATACGTATAATCTTAGTTATTTGCACATTGACTAACAGCTAAGATTTATTGAAAACGTACGTACATATGCACGTACGTTTGTACGCACAATACGATTTTTATTTTTAGTATAGGTTTTCTTATCATTAAGGTTTGTAGGTGCACAAACTGAGGTACGTTAGTCGGGTTTTGCATTTAACTACATAGACTACATAGAGATAACATAGGTAATTATGAATTATTCTGCTTTTTTCTGCAAAAAATTTTGGCTTAAATTTTAATATTATTCTTCCATAGAGTCATCCATAAAGTCATAAGGTCATAAAGAACCTGTCATATCCAAATCGAGATTATATTGTGTATCAGTCTGTACATTCGTCCCTAAAACAATAATAATAGATAGGCGAATTCAGTATCGTACAAATCCTTATCGGTAAGTCTGTAAGTACAACAATTGTACTTGCAGTTGTTCATTGTTCGTTTTTTTTTGCGCTGATATGATTGATTGCAAAGAGGATCTGCTATCTCAGTTTTATAATAAATATTCGCATTGAATCTCTTAAAAACTTCTTCACGCAACCTCATTATATATTTTGCGTGAACTATGGAAGCAACGGAAGTAGCCTTGGAATCATTATCTACGAGTTCACGTTCCCCGTCGATGGATGAACCTGATCATCTATCATCAGAAGATCAACCATTATTACCGGATGAGGAACGTACTTGTGATTCATTAAGTACTTATGATACTTATGAATCGTCCGGAGGAGAGGAAGAAGTTGTAGCTTCAGGTTCAAGTTGGGCTGCGTATATCAATATAACGTAAGTGAATCCAAAGAATCCCAAAAGTGTCTTTATTTATGTTTAGATATATGTCGTGATATATGGCGAATATTGATATTATTTATCAACATTTATTATTTTTTAATTTCATAGTTGTGTGGTGGCAGGAACCGGAGTTTTGGGTTTACCATATTCAATCAAACAAGGTGGCTGGATAGGTATGAGCCTGATCGCTTTGTCCATGTTAATAACACTACACACCAGTGTCATTTTAATAAAATGTCTATATTATAATAAGTATGAAGATTTTAGGTCTTATATTTTTATTTCCTTGTGCTTGTCCATGGATTGTGCTTCTTATTCTTTTTACATTTAGGAAAACTCGGTTAAGCTCTTATGCTGACATAGGATTTCATGCATTCGGAAATTTTGGAAAATATTTTTTGGTTGGAATTTTTAATAACGCAATCCTGCTTGGTGTTCCTGTATTATTTTTTATACTGGCTGGACAAAGTCTCGATAATATCGTAGAACAAATTTGGGATATCAAATTAGGTGTTCGTGTATGGACCCAAATATCTGCTGTATTCGTAGCTTTGCCGTTTATATTCACGAAAACTTTGAAAGAAGTAGTGGTTTTAAGGTTTGTTCAATTCAATAATAACAATAATAGCAATAATAACAATAATTATTATTTATCATCATTATCATTATCATTAATAATAATAATTATTATTTATCATCATTATCATTATCATTAATAATAAAAATGGGACTAAGAAATAGGGGTCTGAACACCCCAAAACCTCCTGTAACCTAAATTTGAGGCTATTATATCGGGTCTAGAAAACATCCAAAATCTCGACATCATGCGATGTGACAATTAAAAGTTTTAAATGTTAATATTATGGCCTGTCGAGACTTTGGATGTCGTGATTTCGTGCTAGACCCATTATATTAACCCTACCTTTGTTTCAAATTGTACCCTAACCTTAAAATATCTTAAAACATAAAGGGAGGAATTTGCCCTCGGTTAAGTGTGATAATGATGATAATGATACATAATACGTAATAATAATAGTGATAGTAATGCTTGAAGTTGTAACTTCAAGCGCCTGAAGTCGAAACTGTCTAAAATTACTAACTAATGCGGGCACGACAATAATACATAATAATAATAATAATAATAATAATATTATTATTATTATTACTATTATTATTATTATTATTATTAATATTAATAATATTAATTATTTTTATTATTATTATTATATTTAGTTTTTATTTTATTTTATTTTATTTATTTGTTCATTAATTAACGATAATATCTTATTATTAGTGTTTTTGGTGCTGTCACCACTTTCTTCACTGTTATCGCTATTGTGATACTTTCGTTTGCGGATCTTTCAAATGTTATTAGCACTCCCAACCCGCCCTCTCACAATATATTGGTTATTTCGGAACTTCCTGTTGCGCTCGCGTCAATCTCATTTTCATTTGGAGGAAATAGCGTTTTTCCTCACATTGAAGAGAACATGAAAAGTGTGTATACTATTTTTTTTTTTTTTTTTATCTGTTTAATTTTCATTTTCATCTTACTTATTTGAATCTTAATTCTAAACTTTCAAAGATAAACAAAATTGGAATACAGTCGTTGGATTAGCTTTGGCAACATGTGCAATTATGTATGCATTAGTTGCTTTTGCCGGATATTATGTATATGGTGACAATACAATGAGTCCTATTTTCCTCAATTTACCTAAAGGTAAAGCTTTGTCGAAATTTGTCTTGAAAAATCCCAAAACAATATTAACAGAGTTTTATTTAACCTTGTAGGTCCCGTGTTGACAATAGCATCTTTATTTATGACAATGCACGTGCTTATGACTGCTCCAATTCTTTTGACATCTTTCGCTTACGATGCTGAAAAACATATGAAAATCACATCTGAATATCTTTCCCCTTGGGCCGAATTTGCTCTTCGCACTTTGTTCCGAACTTGTCTTATTATTGCATGTACATCAATTGCTGTATTTGTCCCATTTTTTGGGTTCGTATGTTTTTCTATTTGGCATAGCACACTTTTAGTATATCTTTTTACAAAGTTCTAACATATATATATCTTTTTAGGGATTTTATGGCACTTTTGGGTGCACTCTCAGTGTGTGCCATCGTTTTTATTCTCCCTGTAGTATTTTATTTAAAACTGTTTGGATTTAATATATCAATTTTGGAATTGTTGTGGAATTTATTTGTGATGATAGTAGGAATTATTGGTTGTGTAATTGGAACTGCTGATGCGGTATCAGCTTTGTTGAAAGATTTTCGTGAAATGGATGACAACAATTAAAATTTCTATCATTTTTATTTAGGGTGTTCTCTTTTAATTCCTATCTTTTTTTTTTTGTTTAGGAGTATGGTATTTGTTAAATTTGTGTATAGTATAGATTACGTTGTACTTACATATATATATATATCTATATATCGTTTTTTGTGTTATATGAGTGGCGTCAAAAGAATACTCAGGAATATCAAAAGCAGGGTTTTCTCTTGACATCACTCATATGTGTAAAAAGTATTTTAAAATATGAATATATTGCTGAGATTAAAAATATATAAATATTCTTGAATTTTGCAAATATTAATTTGTTTACAGTGAAAATATGCATACTGCAATAAAAATTACATTAACATTGAATTCTTACAAAGGTAGAGCACTAATACAGTTTTGATACAATTTTAATACAGTTTGTGCTAACTATATTAGTACATTAATCCTGTTTTAAAAACAGTTATACCACAAAATAATTCCTGATTCAAATGAGAGACACCGTGGTGGCTGAATAAATAAATTTAGGCAAATGTACGTACGTACATTACAAGTTCTGCAAATGATATAACTTCCATTGTTGAATTCTTTTTACTAAAAATTTGATCCTTTCATTTTTTTCCCTAATAGGCAATAATCCACCCTTTTCTCAATTTCTAAAAAAGACTGCGGTGCATAAATTTGTTCACTAAAAAATATTTTCTTGTATGTATTTGATTTTAAAAATTATTAAAGTCACGTTTTATCTTACGAAGACAATAGACAAAAATATTTTTAGAGTGAGTAGATTTATGCAATTCCCCGGACACTCTAACATGTGCATATAAATTCGGTAAACCAATTTTTGGGCTTGATTTATTTATTCTCGTGTAAGTCATTGTCTTGTCAAAGAAATATAAATATATACTGGACTCAGTTTCAACAACTTTATTCGTAAATTCATTTCATAGCTAATTTATATTGTTGTATCAAAAAAAACCCCCCAAATATTTGTTGGGTAATGCTTGGTTTCTCTATTTCTCGACAAACGTTTCACCGACACTGGATTCTTTATAGCCTGCTAGGTTTATCTTAAAAAAGATACTCTAAAAATGATATTTTAAAAAGACACGTAAATCATAATATCCTATAAAAGATACTCTAAACTAAAAAGGCACTAAAAAGAATCCTCTTAAAAAAAGGTACTAAACCTAATGGGTTCTGGGGGGACCACTTCACATCTTGTGGAACTCATCTGGAGTTTTTTCCTTGTGTTGGGCTTAAGTCTTATCCTTCTGCTTCGCGTTAGGCGTTCAATTTCTGTTTGTCAATGAAATGATTTAGAATGATTTCAGGATTTTTCATTATTTAAGCAATAAAAAATCGTAAAATCTGTTAATTGATTATCACTAGAGATGGTAAACTAGTTTTAGGTTTAATTGGTTTTAGATTCTAACCTTTAGGCTCCATATTAAAATCTCTGAACCTTATGTGTAAGTTTTAAATCTAAGTTAACTTGATTTGGTTTAAAACAAAATTTAAAGTCTGGTTTTAGATATAATTGTTATATATAAATGATTTAAACAAATATATATTATATAATATTAAAGATCAAAATGGATATCTATATATAATTTTATGCAAATTGGATTCAATTTTGTAATAATATACAAAAAAATAAAAATACGCATATTAATAAAAAGTTATTTAATTCATATCAAACTTTTAGAATGACTTATTCAAACGCACCTATGGTGTTTTACATCCATGAATGCATTATCTCAAAAACTGACTAATTAATCGGTGCAGTGTGTTCTAAGTAAAAATGTTCTATGCCTCCAAAAAAATTCTTCTCAAATCTTAATTCTATCCCTAAACACTGTAACGGATAATTTTGCTCTATGAACCTCACTTCCATATTTGCCTTGTCATTAAGATGTCATACACCTTACATCTTTGTATCGCCATAGCCATGTTTATCTTACCTTTATGTTTTAGGCATTCTTATTATTATGTGGGGTGTGCCTTGAAAATGACCTTACGGTAAATAAACTTTTTTTTTTATTTGTAGAGCTTAGCGAGTTCTACAAAAAAAAAAAAAAAAGAGTTTATTTGAATTGGATTACTGGATGGCCAAAAATTTCAATTTTTATCCATAAAATCTACATAGTCACGTAAGGTCATTTTCAGTCAAGACATGTATTAGCAAAATATGATCGATAATCAAAAATCGTTAAGACTAAATTGGCCTTAATAAAACATTACTATGATATCTTACAATTAAGAATCTAAGACCATAAGCCTAGATCCTATAAATCAAAAGCTTTATTAAATATATACATGGATTAAAAAATAGAGTTCTTATCCATTATCCATTTATCCATTTATCTATTGGAACAGGAGGGAACGTTGATGTTACACGATTGATTTTACACACGGTGTGAAACACATAAAAAAATTTTTTTACAATACTTGAACAATCTTGATCAGTCAGCTAGT